TGTGGCGACAAGCCGCCTTTTGCTGACACCCCTCTTTGGTGGCTGATTAACAAATTGGCCGCCAGGTATTGGGGACTTGTATAGAGGCATATATGTGCATGACATTAAAAAAATGGAAACTTTTTGGAAATGATTAATTAACCTGGCAATTTGAAAGAATTGTATAATTTCTCCAGTTTTGAACAACATATTTGTCTATACTTTTGCACTCTGGTATTGCTGTGCAAGTGTGGCGACAAGCCGCCTTTCGCCGACATCCCTCTTTGGTGGCTGATTAACAAATTGGTCGCCCGGTATTGGGGAATTGTATATAGACATACTGTATATGTGCATTACATTAAGAAAATTAAAGTGTATTTGGAAATGATTAATTAACAGTCCTGGCAATTTGAAAGAATTATATTCTCCAGTTTTGAACAACATATATGTCTATACTTTTGCACTCTGGTGTTGCTGTGCAAGTGTGGCGACAAGCCGCCATTCGCCAGCACCCCTCTTTGGTGGCTGATTAACATTGGCCACCTGATATTGGGGACTTGTATATAGACATATATGTGCATGACTTTAAAAAAATGAAAGTTTTTTGGAATTTATGATTCATATAACCTTGCAATTTGAGGGAATTATATTCTCCAGTTTTGAACAACACTATTGTCTATACTTTTGCACTCTGATGTTGCTATGCAAGTGTGGTGACAAAGCCACCTTTCGCTGGCACCACTCTTTGGTGGCTGATTTGCATGGTGGCTGATTAATTGGGGACTACAGTTATTGACATATATCGATATATGAATAATATAAAAATATTTAAGTGTTTAGAAATTATTAGTTATAAAAACTCATATGAAACATTAACCTAGAAATTTGAAAGAATATTATTCAGTCTAAATCTCAGTGGCAGTGTGTATTAATTTTATTTATTATTTTATATCATACTGCTGTATATTGTTTATTGTATATTATACTATATGTGGTTTTGGCATTTCCTTACTCAAATAATAACCATGTATAAGTGTTATGTTAGAGCACACCCAAACCGGGGGCTGAATTAAGGGATATAATAAATGTAGTTCACTCTGCAACATTAATTTCTAATTATATGTTCCTTCTATTTATCTAGGAAAGTTAAGATGTAGACAGCTTCGTGTCAAGCAAAGACCCAAAAGAATTGCCATTTCTTGTAATGGTTGTCTGGCGACCGTTGAATGCAATTTCTCAAATCTTTATTGTCGCTGACTTGCTGGTACTTTTTCGAGTTAAGGGTGGAATTGTGGAACTGATGGCATGAACTCACATTCTCTTTTCGAGAGGAGGTCAATTAATGAAATTAGGAATGACATATACTAAGTAATATGAACTGAATAAAATCTGAACTCAGTAGGAGAGGGCAATTGCTCTTGTATTGTATATACAGTAGGTATCGTTTATAACTCATTGCAGTATTTGCATCAGTTTGGTTCGAATGTTGCATCTTTACTCTGTAACTCTGAACGGAGTGCGTACAACCATGCATGCATGTATTGTAGGTCAAAATCACTTTGTTTGTTACTACTGTGTATGCTAATTTTAATTTGTTCTATATATTGGTAGAATACATTATTTTCACTGACACAGTTGTGTTGAGATGACTATATAGTATCTGACTTTATATTATTTCTTTCAGTCATGGCCTTACTCGGAACAATGAGTAAAAAGGTACTCAGCTCGCTGAGAAAAAGGAGAATGTTTAAAGATTTGAGTAGTTTTGTACTCGTTGTTTTGAGTAAGGCACTTCTTTTACTCACTGTGAGTAAATATCGCACTTTACTCACGTTTTAGGTGTCACTGGGAATGGATTTTGGTTTACTCAGAAACTTGAGTAAAATTTTACTCATTGTTTTGCGTAAAACCTGCAGTTTACTCACTGTGAGTAAAAATCGCATTTTACTCACGTTTTAGATGTCACTGTGAATGCATTTTGTTTTACTCAGAAATTTGAGTAAAATTTTACTCATTGTTTTGCGTAGAACCGGTAGTTTACTCACAGTGAGTAAAAATCGCACTTTACTCACGTTTTAGGTGTCACTGTGAATGCATTTTGTTTTACTCAGAAATTTGAGTTATTTTTACTCAAACTTTGTGTGTCACTGTGAATGCATTTTTTTACTCAAATATTTGAGTTGATTTTACGCAAGGATTTTTGCAGTGTAATAAGGCTAATTTATCTGTAGCATGCAGGCGTGGTCGCACCACATTTTGTAGTACGAAACTAAATAGTATATAACAAGACAGGCGCCTGTTCAGTCATTCACTCCAGCTGGGGATTAGTAACTGGCGTTTAGCTCGGGGCAGCATCATATGACAATGAATATTTATGGTAAGTGACCCAATTTTACTTACTGTATGTTGAATTGAGCAAGTTGTGGCGCGAGGCATTCTGTAATACCTTCCACTGCATACTTGGTCGAGCCATAAACAGTGTTAAATGGAATACCGAACAATCCTCCAATGGAAGCGATGTTAATGATTCGACCTTTCTTGTTATTTTTCATGGAAGGTATTATAGCACGTAGCATGCGAAACACACCAAACACATTTGTGTTATAGGTATTCATAATGGCTTCCCATGATTGCTCTTCGAGTACACCCAACAGCCCAACACCTGCGTTGTTTACTGGAAAAAAATGCACGGTGAAAAGTAGGTATAATTTTTATTTGAAGCTTGTTTAGGCTTGAAAGAATTTAAAGGGGAAATATCAACCACCATACTTTGCGCGCTATTTTTTGACGCCTGCGGCCACTTTCTTGGTCGAGAAACGGTTGATTGCAGTGGCGAGCTGGCCATGGCAACTGGTCGTGCCATGCTATTAGTATAGGTATAATAGCATGGTTTCGAGTGCAATTTGGATATAACATGCAGGAGTGAGTTTTTCAAAGACCTCAAAATGGACGAGTGCTATTTGAGGTCTTTGAAAAACTCACGAGTGCATGTTTATCCAAATTTCACGAGAAACCATGCTATTACTTATTAGTAATTTACATAAACATGTTCGGGACAATTGTAGTTTTAATTTACGCGTTTATAGCGAACATTTCACTGGCAAAGTTTTCCTGGCTTTGTTATATCACATTATACAACGCTAACAGCTTGAAAATTCCACTCAACTATGTAATTTTTGTTAGTCTTGTTTAAGGTCAATGCTTTTCCATTTAAAAATAAAGATAAAAACCATATTTTCCACGCGAAGGCAACTTTTACTTTGTGTAGCGCGGCGCCATGTTTGTTTTGTTTTTCAAAACAAAACAAACATGTTTTTCCACCAATCAGATCAGTTTGTTACAGATTTTTGCACTGTGATTATGTGGCTGGATGTAATTGTACCGAGAACCAGTGGCGTGCTGGCAGGGGGGGCCGGGGGGCCACGGCCCCCCCAGCTGGCAATTCTTGGGGGGCGCAGAAATGAAAAGGGGGCGCCGATCCCGCGCCGAATTTTGAAAGTGGGTGGGAAAAAACGCATTCGAAAAATATAGTTACTTCCGCCAAGAAAACGACAAAGTGATATATTAAATTACCGACTATTTTGTCTATTAAGCCGTATTTGCTAATTTGCTACTTTACGGCACACACGAAATCATTTATATAGGAACATGATCAGTGATCAAACGCAATGTCTCATTACTGAAATATTGGTCAGGTTTGGAAGCGATCACGGGAATTATGCCCTTTTTTGCTGGTATTATGCCCTTATATTACGCCCTTTATTCTTCTTCACGAGAGCGGCGCAAATTAGATAGTTGAAGTTATGATAATGTAAAGTTGTGTACGCAATTTAGTTGTTTGCGCAAGAAACATCATGAGTAATGTAAGTAATGAAATAATGCTGAAACGCGCCCTTTTGGCAGCCAGGCAAGGAAACCTTAAAATGCATATGCGTGGGGTCCGTGTGTTATTGTATAAAAGAGCTGTAAGTTGTAAATGTATTCAGATCACTAGATCAGTAAAGAATAGAATTGGGATTAGATTAATCGCTGGAAGTGGTTAGCATTGCATAATTTAAGTACAAATTGCAAATTTCGACACGTTATGCTGTTTCCTGACCATCAGATTTCTGTTAAATCGTCCCCCAAAGTCCAGGAAATGGCATTTCAGAGACTCTAAATTCAAAAATTTTCCTGGGGGGCATGCCCCCGGACCCCCCTAGACAAACCTCGCACCTTCGGCGCTCGGCTCGTGCCTTCGGCCCTCGTTTATCACGTGTAATATTATAGGGGCGCATATTGGTTGACAGCCCACTGCCCCCCCCAGAAAAATAGTACCCAGCACGCCACTGGTAGATAAATAACGTAATATATGCGTGGTAAAAGGAAGATGCAGTACATGGCTGGTTAAAAGTGCATATGAAACAAAAAGTTTTACAGGCTTACTAAAAAACACTGTATAGAGTAACTTCTTTTGCAGTTTTTCTTTTCTTTGCATCGTTTTCGAGATATTTCAGTTACTTTGAAATACGACACATGTTATCTACGTGACTACGTCACAAAATGCATAATGAGTTATCAGATTTAAGTTATATATCAGTCCTTGCTATAATGAAACTAAATCGCTTTTTAGAAGTATGGTGTGCATTTGTGTTTAAACACCAAAACCCTGGATTCTTTAGTAAATTCATTTCATAATAACAAGAATATAAAATTTTCAGCAAACTCAGTATGCATATTTGTGATGTAGAAACCATGACACGTATATCAAATTAACTGAAATATCTCGAAAACGAAGAAACAGGAAACTGAAAAAGAAGTTACTCTATAGTTTTTATAGTTCGCTTAAGACAATAAGAATTTCATTTCATTATGCACTTTAAAATCAAGCTGAAACGGCCTACTCACGAATAAGGAAATTTTAACACAGGATTCGCGCGTCGCAAAAGAAGAAGCTAGAATGACGAATGAATTCTGATTAGTTAAAACGTCTCATAAAAACATGACCTTGAATATGCTTCATAGTTATCTATGCATTTTAGGTGTGTATATAAGGAACCTAAAATGCATAGATAATAAGGGGGAGAGGGGTGCCATGCAGCTGGTACGGTCCTGAATATATAATATGGTATATAAAGATCCGCTGGATTGTTTTTAAAAGATGTTCAGTCCAGGTTTCCTTCCCTGTTCTTCCACTGTGAATCCCATCCATAAAAAGTACTATATGCATAGTTTTTCAAATATGAATAACTTGCAATTCGTGTAAAAATTTCAGATCTACAAACAGTCAATGTTGGTCAGTTGAAGAAATTGTTGGCCTCTAGCGTTGGTAAGATAATTATGATAGTAAAAGATTGTGTTCCGATTGATCAGTATGCTAGTGAAAGATTCCTCCCACCGGCTATATGTATACAGCTATTTCAATTAAGGTGGCTCGATGCAGTTTTCAAACACGTCAGGTATTTAACAGTTTGACAGTGTTAAACGTCGTATTTTTAGCTTTTTCGTCTTTCAAATTATGTCAGTTTTGATAACACATAGTTCGTTGCTATGGCAAGACACAAGTACGAAATTCACTCTAAAAAAGCCTATTGCTTTGTGTAGTTGGAAAAAGGCTCGGTGACCCCCAATTTTTTTTCGTGCATCATTTTACTTAGAACATACACTAACAATAAGCAAAATATAAAAAAATTCTGTCATGGCAAAATATTTTTATTGAGAAAAATCACATTTTTGCGTTTTTTCAAAAAAACTGGTATGACAGAATTTATTTTGCTTATTGTTGGTGTATGTTCTAAGTAAAATGATGCACGAAAAAAATTGGGGGTCACCGAGCTTTTTTTCCAACTACACAAAGCAATAGGCTTTTTTAGAGTGAATTTCGTACGCGTGTGTTGCCATAGCAACGAACTATGTGTTATCAAAACTGACATAACTTGAAAGACGAAACATCAAAATAGATGAACATCCTGATATCTGCGGCATAAAACCTAAAAATACGACGTTTAACACTGTCAAACACCTGAAGTTTTTGAAAACTGCATCGAGCCACCTTAAGGTTGTCCCCGAGCAAAGCGGAAAAGTCGAATATGAGAGCGAAAGACTTGAGTGGGAATTGCTAAAAATCATTAATTTTTTAGCGATTCCCAGCAAGCCATTCGCGCTCGTATTCGACTTTTCCGCTTTGCTACAAAGTGAACAAAACGGAGTCGAAAGTTGATTAATAATCTTTTCCCGGTCTAAGTGGGATGTGAGTTGACGAGAGTTGCTCGACTGATAACACTTACCTCACATCGCTAGAAATCGCGGACATTTGGAATACAGCATGCATTCTCGCCCCAGTCCCCATGTTCACTCTTATTTTCAAATTTTATCAGGAATGTAGATGGTTATCCACTTTTAACATAAAATATCTTTTAAAGGTGATCTACAGTCCGTACGTAAACAAAGCCTTTGTTTACATTTTTGTGTCCAAAATATTGAGCTTTATTCGACAACTATTTATATTTTCAAGCTTCTAGAGTATAATAAATGATCAAGAAACAACAATCAGGCTTCTCAAGAACTCAAAACATAGTTAAACTGTTTGTATCATAAAAAGTGGGCTCATTTGTGCACATGCGCAGATCGGACTGTAGATCACCTTTAAGAATCATACAAAATTAAACTTGTGCATTGTGGAAACAAAATTCCGTGAACTAATCAAGGAAAAAACTAAAACCAATAATAAAATATAATGATTATTTACGATTGTTAAAACTGGGCAACAACGCAATTAAATGTGCGGCAGGATTTCTAACTAATTTATCAAAACGACCATAATCCACATTTTACAAAGTCAAATTACGGCTTAATGATCGATGACCTTAAAAATGTGCGGTAATATTTAAATAATATGCAGATATTAGTATCCGAAACAATTGTTCGCATATCTTAATCTGTGGTGTCAATGTGTATTTGCTTCATTCCATGTTTGCATAAAATCGAAGGTTCGTTTATTAGACACGATCATCAGGTTCTAATGTTCCAACCTCGTCCCCAGGGCCTTCCTCGTGGTGGCGCGTGAGCTGAGGAAGACCCTGGTAAAATACGATGAAATCTCCAAGATTCTTGGAGATTTATCGCATGCGCAGTAACGACAACGTTATGTTGCTGACTACAATTAGCGCTGGCGCTTACGATTTTCTTGCTTGAAAATGTACATGTTTTGTTGATTGTTTATGGATTTATTCTCAAAGTTTTAACAACTTTTACGAAAAATACTTCAGATATAAGCTGTGAACACACATGTACACAAAACTGTGCAACATTCATCATCACATTGTATCAATTTGTCGGAGTATAGCGCTCAAATTTGTGACATTGTTTTGTTCGCTTTGGCAACCCTCGTATATATCAGATGCTGTTCGGCCTCAAATGCGACTGAATAAACACTGATAGTGTTGCCTGGAATATAAAATGATATTGACTTATTGTTCTGTATATCAAGGTATGTAATGTACATTTATACTGAATTTATTCGATTTTTTTCACACGTTGCTTTCACATTTTCTCAGAGTGTCGGAAATCACATTTTCTAATAAACTCAGTTTCACACATACAGCAAGACTTCATTTCACACATACAGAAAGACTTCTTCATTAATCACAGTTTTTAACATATAGAAAAACTTCATATTTTCTCATCAGTTAATCAAATTATGATAACAGTACGTAGTAGGAATGCTTAGAAAGATTTTATTCTGTTTTCCATATACAGTGTACAACTGTTATTTCAATTTTCTCTTTCCTATATTTTCTTTAAAGCAGGTACTGTTCTGTTACAAAACAACTAATAAACATTTTATTATTTTAACAGGTGAACCATATTTTACATGAACTTGGGGAAAAAACAACTTGAATTCCATGGAAATATATATAATCATGTCATCAATCAGATAGTAAACAATCATTAAGATGGCCTCAAGATTATATTTCACAGTGACCAACATGAAAATTTTTAAATGGGAATTAGTTGATGGCATTATAGTTTTCTAATGCTATATAATTTTGTTCATCAAGGTGAAGAAACCTTACCTCGCTATACCTTTTCCTGTTACAGAGCTATGGTAGTAATCTTAGAAGATTTTCATGATCCCTCTATTCAGTAGTTCTTTAACCAGTCTGGTATTATGACTGTATTATATTAAATAGCCTTGTGTGACTTTTGTATTTTCTTCCTTTAATAATACATTTACAATGGTCAAAATTACAGTTTAATCTTTGTATTTCTAATGATAATTACTTGCATATATCCATCACACTTTTCTGTTACTATTAAACTTATTACTATCATGCAAGTAAAATCTCTTGGGAAAAATAAAATGTTGTCCCAGGATAGTCATAAATATCAGCTAGTAAAACTAATGAATATACCTATAATCATGTACATATGACTATCATATAATATGTTGTAATTCCTTTAAGTGTTTCCAATTAAATAAATTTCTATTTTCAGTTGTTCATTGTTCAAACTAATTTGAAACCTACAGTATATGTAGTTGCTATGATTCAGATTAATATCCAAAAGTGTGCCTTTTACTTCAGTCCTTATAGACTCCTCCCTAATACAGACACTTTATTGTGCTACTCCAATGTTCATTCAAAGTGATCCAACTGACATCTGAGCTGGTGATAATATACAACAAAATATTGGAAGTAGGAGTATATCAGATAAGTTGTTCATTCAGTCAAGACCTTCAGGTTGTGCTGATCATCATATCAAACTCCATCACATATTGTGCCTTAAAAAGGTCTCTTCATAACACCTTTTAATAATTTTGGAACCCCATTGGATGCAATTTTGGAACCCTTATGGATGTCTTTCTACCCCTTTAGGATATTGTTCCTGCCCCTTTGGATATCACTAAAACACCTAATTTTTAGGAAATCTCTTAAGCTACCCTCCACAAAAATTTAAGGTAAAAACCCCCTCTATAAAATCCTCATATAGGATATCCAGACCTCAATAGACAATAGGGAGGGGGGGCTATTAAATGGAATAGCCTATTTGGAATGGTGAGTGGTGACTACCAAGGAAAATGAAACATGCTGGCCTGCTTTACATACAGAATAAATTTTGAAGCATTTCTACTGTTACTTGTAACGATAATCAGATTTGATGAGAAAATATGGAGTCTTTCTGTATGTTAGTGATGTGATCTCATTGATCATAAAGCTGAAATAGTTTGAAACTCGTGTGAAAATAAATCCAGTATAAATGTACAGTACGTACCTTGATATACGGAACAATCATTCAATATCGTTTCATATTCCAGGCAACACTATCAGTGTTTATTCAGTCGTATTTGAGGCCGAACAGCATCTGATATATACGAGGGTTGCCAAAGCGAACAAAACAATGTCACAAATTTGAGCGCCATACTCCGACAAATTGATACAATATGATGATGAATGTTGCACAGTTTTGTGTACATGTGTGTTCGCAGCTTATATCTGAAGTATTTTTCGTAAAAGTTGTTAAAACTTTGAGAATAAATCCATAAACAATCAACAAAACATGTATATTTTCAAGCAAGAAAATCGTAAGCGCCAGCGCTAATTGTAGTCAGCAACATAACGTTGTCGTTACTGCGCATGCGATAAATCTCCAAGAATCTTGGAGATTTCATCGTATTTTACCAGGGTCTTCCTCAGCTCACGCGCCACCACGAGGAAGACCCTGGGGACGAGGTTGCTAATGTTCAGGTTTGGCGATGATTTTTTAGGCAAAAATGACCCAAAATATATCATTCGAAAGCCCTTTTCGACTGTTTTTGTTTGTTTACAGTTTGTAATCCTTTTAGTATGATTACATTTTGTAATAATCGTTTTTGTAATCCTTTTAGTAATGCTTTCAGTTATATTTAGAGTAATAAATTACGGGGATCGAAAGGGGTAATAAGGGACATAGACGTAAGGGATGTTTCGGGATTCAAATGTCCGCAATTTCTAGCGATGACCTTGATAATTCTGGACATCACAAAAAACTCATCCAATAACTGTTTTTATTATATAAGGTATAGTGCTTTATGTACTATTTAAAGCACTGATAAAACTGATAATCTCACATGTGCGATTATTTATGATAATTTCACATGTGAAAATTATCGCTTTTCAATTAGCGCTTTTCTGTAAAACTTATCGCTTTTCAAAGACTGTTCTTTATATAATAAACAGAAAAATACATGGATGCTTGGAAATACCAGATTTATTTCTCGTGTTGAACATGATGTTCTCACTGGTTCGCTGCGCTCACTCTTGAGATATCATATTCAACACTCGAAATAAATCTGGTATTTTCGCGCACTCATGTACTATTCTCTACATGTACTTTTTAAAACACGCATAGGAGTCTTTATCATATTTCAAATGCAAGTGCGCAGCACGAGTATTTTAGATATGATAAAACACTTCTACGCGTGTTTTACTGAAATAGCTTCAAACACGACTACAATAGATGCCCTCTCATTAGTATTCTTTATATAAAGAATACTAACTAGGAAGGACTTTTATATAAAGAATACTAATGAAGATGAGTTTTGTCAGGTATAAAGCCTCTTCACGTGACATATTACGGTTGACATGATTTGCCAATAAGCTTACGAATTATTAATGAGTGTTTGAATGTTTTTTAAAACAGAAAATCTAGATAAAGCTGGAAAGGCCATCCAAAATCTTCTTCAATATGACCAGGAGAGAAGTAAGTATAGGATATGTAGGAATATTCTCCTTCGGTTTTGAAAAGTATCACTTTTGGCATGCTCCGGAAATAGACTACCATATTTGCAAGCGAAGAAGAGAATTGATAATTTATAACTAGAAGAGATTTGATAATTTATTAGTTAGGTTTCTGGCCATTTTTAATATTTATTGGAACAATTATACAAATATATATATATATATAACTACAGACGGTACCGTTTCGGCCTTATGGGCCTCATCAGTGTAGTGCTGATGAGCAGGATGAAAGTAACTGCTATTTACAGTTATATATATATATATATATATATATATATATATATATATATATATATATATATATATATATATATATATATATATATATATATATATATATATATATATAAAATAGCCTTTTAAAAACACGGGCGCTGATTGGTCAAAAGCTCAAAAAACCCGTGTTTCTATAACTCGATAGAAACAGGGGGAGTTTTCACGCAGGTTGCGTGGATTGCGCGGGCGTTTAAAAGACAAAATACAAACAATATTTAATTTTGAAAAAAGTTGAAAAATGTCCCGAAACGCCGAAGAACCGTTACAAAAAAAGGCAACAATTTGCTAACTTAGAAAGCGAAGACCTAAAGCACAAAGTATAAATTATAGCACACATTGTATCTGTTTGACTGTTTACCAAGGTAAGATACTTTAATTTTACTTTGTCCTTTCAAAAAATATTTCCTCGCGACGTTCTTAATCATGTTTACTATAGTTTTTAATCATGTTTAAACGTTCACTAACTATTTAAAACAGTGCTTTCTTTGCATGCAAGCATGTACGTTGTTGAGTGAATTATATACTGTGTAAAGTAAGCCTGTTAAGTGCTGTCTGTTGTTTTGACAGCGATGTACTTGTTTTATACTTCGCTATGCTTTTATAATTATTCTTTACACGAACGTATATTAAGGTGGAATTAATATTTTTAATTAATTTATCTTTTCTATTGTTTTTAAAAGGCTATTTAATAAAGGAAATAGAAAACATTTTTTCCGTGTTCCTATAGAGTTTATAGAAACACTTGTGAAAGTTTGGGAGAAACTCGAAATTGCGTGGAAACACTCGCACTTCGTGCTCGTGTTCCCACGCAATTTCTCGTTTCTCCCAAACTTTCACGCGTGTTTCTATAACTCTATAGAAACACGGAAAATGTTTTCTACGGTATTTCTTAAATATATATATATATATATATATATATATATATATATATATATATATATATATATATATATATATATATATATATATATATATATATATATATATATATATATATATATATCAATATATATATATATATATATATATATCACATAAAGTGGAAATGAAAACAATTAGGCAAACTAGCAGAGAAGTAAAAAGATGTGCAAGTCAATGAAAACCAACTTAGCCGGATCAGGATATGTCGCAAAGACTTGTAAAATAGTCTGATGTCAATCGTGCATCGTAAAATGATCCAGATGATCACTGTGCTCAATATAGGTGAAATAATAACAAAAGTAATGAACATTTAATTCTACATTTTAGAAGCTCATAGCAGAAATAAGCAAGTTACACCACAGCCTTACCCAGGTAAAAATACAGTGCAGCTCTCTTTCAACTTTGGACTTTATATGAATTGCTGTGACATACGATATGAGGTTAACTGATCGTGAATTCTCTGCAAATCGTATTTCTCAAATTATGTTTTAGGTTATCAACAAAGATATGGTGGATACCCTCAACCACAATCACAGTATCAAACAACCTGTCCAGGTCAATGTAGCAGCCTCTGTGCTCCAGCATGCAGAGATCCATGCTGTCGGTTCCCACCTAGCATGGGCGGAATGAACTCGGCACCTCCTGCCCAAGCTCGTGGCTCCTACCAACAAGGATTGGTTAACGCATACCCACCAGGGACACAGTTGGGTGGTAGTCAAGGAAACTATCAGCCTCAAGGAAACTATCAGCCTCAAGGAAATAATCAGCCTCAAGGTTTTGGTCAGCAGTGTGGTCCACAGTGCTCAGGTCAATCTTGCGCGTCATCATGCAGCCCATCATGCTGTGGGTCAGGAGGTCAGATGGCACCTCCTGGTCAAGCTAATGCTGGATGTCCAATGTCGTGTTTAAGTAATTGTGCCGCATCTTGCCATGCTCGCTGCTGTGTGCCAGGGAGAAAATGACGTGTTAAAATATGGGCATGTTCGTACGCCGCAGCCGTCAACTTTGTGCTAATGGTACTCAATTAGCTTAAAACTGCAAGATTGCTATACTTCGTCTGCACGCGATGGTGAAAAGCCTGTATTTCATTATGCGCATGCATGGCTGAAATAGAAATCGAAAAGGCTTAGAAAATGGCGGTTTTTGTTGCGACATTTACGTATCAGTATAGTTGGCACTGCTGAAGAATTGATAAGATTTTTTCTTTGACTTGAAAATTACAAACTCTCCCAATCGACTTTTATTATGATAAAGATGCAGGAAAACAATAATTGTGTTTATTAATATAAACTTTGTATATTATTCTATTGATGTATGGGTACAGGCTGTGTAATAACCAGCAATGAATTGCAGTGACCAAATATTCTTTTGTAAAATAAAAATTGTACAATTCTAAATGCAATCGGATTCTGGCGTATGAAAGTTACTACTAAAGCCACAATCCTTCATCTAGATTATGGCGGAATTTGGAATGCGTGCTTGCTATCGGTTTTCGACTAGGCGGAATTTTGGGCGCGGAGCGGATTTTTTCTTTCCTAATTAGTTCCACCCGAGAAATCACAAGACAAAGAAAAATTCCGCTCCGCGCGCAAAATTCCGCTTAGTGGAAAACCAACTTAAGCCCATTGGGATCACATGCCACGAGTGCGCCAAGGGTGATATACGAAGGGTAAATTGCTCTCAATCATATATTACGTGAAAACCGAGGGACAGTTAGAGTAAAGGTAAACTTGGCCGGTACATTCTCCACATGCAGTGTACAAACAATTTGGATTCTTGCACTTCACTTGGTGGAATTAATATTAGAATGTTAGGGTATGTAATCCAAGTGAGAATATATACATTTTAAGACCTAACCAGGAACGACTGCGAAAAATGCAGCACAAGGTCCTCTGGTAGGAATTGAACCTGCGGCCCTGCGATTCCGGTGCAGCGTTCTAACCAACTGAGCTACAGAGGCCAGCTGTTGAGCTGTAACCGTAAGTTCATGTATATATAGATAATCGGGTGTGCGGGTTGTGATAAGGTGGACTTGAATAATTTGGATTCTTGCACTTCCCTTGGTGGAATTAATATTAGAATGTTAGGGTTGTAAACCCTAATATTCTAGTGTACAAACAGTGCACATTCACACATTATTCAGTTCACTCCCCAACGGGGCTTTCAATTTGCCCTGCGAGAGGAAACCAGAGCGCCTTGAGAAAACCCACAACTTTCGGCGGAGCGTAAACAAACTTTTTCACGTAAGTTCGTAGCGAGAATCGAACCCACAATCTCAGAGGTGAACGGCGCTTGAAATTATAATTATAGGCGACGGTAAGTCCATTGTTCTATGGGTGTTCGGAGGTCAAAGTGTGGTGGTTTTGGCCTTGAGGGAGAATTTTAAATAGGTTAGACGATGTATAGAAACCTTTATATACTAAAACCGTCTGTACCAGTGTAGGTAGTACCAATGTGAAAATGCTGTGCTGAGTGGTTAGTAAGGTAGTAATATAACAACTCAGCACAGTATAGAAACCTTTAACCTATACTGAAGATGTTCTTTAATGCTTTACATTATTGCTGCTCTTCGTTCTTGGACGCGAGGGATTGACCTTTTTTGGGCTATTGCTTAATTTTTTGGAAAACTAATAGACACTACTTCAAACAAATCTCGTACCCACTCTGATTTTTTTGTGAAAAACTGAATGCCCTAGCCTTTTAAGTATTCATACAGAACACTTCAAAAAGTGGAGTTATTTCGATAAGGACATCCTTGGTCAAATATAACCAGATTTCTGATTACATTGCCAGAAATTAAGATATAATGATCAGGAAATGTAACCAGGAACACTAAGTTAACAAAATAGTGCTATTTATAAGTTTAACAAAAGTGTTTTTGTAATACGTTCACATGAGAGCAAAAAGGTAAATGAAATCTACATTGTACAGCTCGTCCAAATAAAAATGGCCTGCATGGAATGTGTTAACCACACGAAAAATACTGACACAAAGAGGGGTGGTGTGCAATAAAATTGAGGCGTTAGCTGTGGAGGAAATTGACAATTTTAAAAAGAATATACACGATATACACTCCGAAAATAGTTAACATTTTAATGAACGTTTTGACTAGGTTCCAGTCATCATCCTGATGACTGAAATCTAGTCGAAACGTTGGTTAAAATGTTAACTACTTTCGGAGTGTCTATTGTTTTGTTCTTTTTAAAATTATTCAATGGCAACCGAGATTGACAATGTTTTTGTTGTTTTGTCTGAAAGAATTTGATCCTAAAATGCACGAGATAGCTACTGTGAAGCCAGATTCGTGTCAATCGCGCAGACAAAAACAATAGAAAGGGACTGGAACTGACGTCCAATAGCTCCTTCACTTTCCGCCATCTGGCAAGAAGTGTGCATCGATTTATAGAATAACACTATGGTTTTATGAACTGATAACTTGGTTAGCGATACTACTCAGGCAGATAGGAGGAAAAGACTCGCCCGATCAGGGGACAATTCTATTTTGTCTTCATCTAGTATTTTCAAGGCTCGTAAGTACATTTCTGTATGTTGGCATCGTTCAAATGTCTTGTAGGTTCCTACCAACACGTTTTTCTTCGATTTTCTTATTAAACGCCTATATTGTTGAAAACGTGAAATGTCAGGTCCATTTATAAAAAAATAACTTGCAGCATTAGAAAGCTTACAAAAAACTACATATAAGACATTTAAACGGTTACCTTGACTTTTCAAACGGTGTTCGATTTATTGCTGTGAAACAGCAAGTGTGAAAAATAGGCCAAAACGCGCATAAATCCTGCATAGCACTAGTCTTAAAATACGTTTTCAAAAGCTCATAACTCAAGAAGGACTTGAAAAATGAAGGTAACCGTTTAAATGTCTTATATGTAATTGTTTGTAAGCTTTCTAATGCTGCAAGTTATTTTTTCTGTAAATGAACCTGAAATTTCACGTTTTTAACAATATACAGTAAGAGTTTAATAGGGACATTGAAGAAAAACGTGTTGGCAGGAGCCCACAAGAAATTTGAACGATGCCAACATACAGAAATGTACTTACAGTACAAGCCTTAAAGACACAAGATGAAGGCAAAATGGAATTGTCCCTCGATATGGTAAGTTTTCATTCATTTTTGTCCTCTATAGCTGCCCGACTATACGGTCCGTTAGAAAAACTGGATTAGCTGGGGACATATAGTATTTACACTATCTGTTTCCAGGTATAACTTAAAAATATATCAGCAATATTAAAACTCAGCTGATGATCGGTAAGACCTTTTTCATTAGAAAAAAAATAATTGAAGGTTAGATGTGTTGTTGCCAATATTTTAGGAGGAGAGAGGAAGCGAGCTCATCAGCAAAGAGATGATTATTTGGGGATGAACCACTGAGAAATATTGGCCATGAAGATGATTGGCCATGCAACGTTTTACGAAGGCACATTTCATTCCATGCAGCAACATCCCTCCTGGAAAAGATGCGATAAACCACTGCTAATCTTGTCCAAAGTTGTAGAATATCAGGGTCGTTCCAAAATTCGAAACGGTCTGCTAATATTTTGTGTTTACATTTCATCACGAGGAATTCATCCCATGCTGGAAATATTTCAGGGTTGTTGCTAAACTCAACGCGGCCTGACAAGATTACGATTACATATCATCGCGCCACGAATTCATCCCGCGCTGGAGTTCGGTAAAGCTAGCAGGGTGACTTCACTGTGATGTAAGAATTTTCTCAATCCCATCCATGATATAGAACAACTATAGACAACGCTATGACGGATCTTATGTAAATTCGAGTTACACACAAGCATTTTTATTGGACCCTCGGACACGGCTAATTTATTAGGTTTATCGTCGTGATCTTTTATCCAACCCGAGCTTGGAGTTAACACCGCGAGGTATGTACAACATTCGCGATCGCATTTTCTTGCACGTCCATGTAAGAAATGGAATATACAATGCAAGGATTATAGTACCAGTGTTATTTTGAAAAATAAGCAAGTGAACGAATTGCGTCAGACGCAAAGAAGACACAGTAAAGTTTCCTCATCCCATGTTCTTTCCTTCGAAAGGATATGACGTGACTTTTATTTTCAAACAACACCTGCATCATCGACACGGGAGGACGGTCACAGTTCGATAGAACATTCGCTTCTTCTCAACGGATCAAAGAACAAACACAGGTAGGCAAAAGATTAAAACAATACATTATTATTAGCATAAATCGAATAGGTCAAATTAAACTTTGTCAGAAATTGGCTTTCTTGTGTGGTGAGTATGTTAGAACGGTCACTGTATCTTAAAAATAGTCAGGTGACAACGACCCAAATCAATAGCATTTATTATTTATCGTTTTAAAAATGTAAAAAGTAGTGATACTGTAATTTACGGCAGAAACGATAGCCTATATATAAAACATATAGTATATGTAAGCAAAAGTAAAAGATACTGTATTAGTAACAACTATATATCTATACAATGGGAGAAATATGACAAACAAAGCCATTTAACTAGTACCTGTGAATTTGCTTTGTAAGATCACTAGGCAGCCAAAACGCAGTGTTTTAATTGGTTCATTAGCGGCTCGGATACTGGCCCGTGAACATGGCCCAATCGTGATGAAAACAAAGTTAAATGCAAGGCCCAACTTATCCCTTTATACTTGAGTAATGGTCAGTGGAAACTTATACACTTGTGACTCTGTTTGAGCTGAGCTCCTAACTTCTTCATGACTTTTAATATAGTCTATCAAGATATGATGGTCTGGAAGGGCAGCAAACATCAAGGCTACAAAATAGAATGCCTTTGGTTGTTGTTGAACTGTACCTCACCGTGCACAAATCCTTTATCTCACTTAAATATCATTTCATCTCAGCTATTCCTATTGGACGGTTACTTCGTTATACGAAAATGCAATGAGCACAGTCACCCTGACCGTGCACAAATTAACATAATAGCATAGTTGCCCGGGTTTCTTTTGTTTCAACAGGGATGATTACTAACTAATTGCCCGCTGTAGCTGGCGAATAGTTCTAATCGCCCGTTGGCAAGGGTCACACCCTTTGTCTCCCTGCCGACTAGGCATTAGGCAAGTGCCTCACGCACATAATCGTGCAAGGAACAGCAACAGTTAGCTCAGAGCCGTCAATAGTCTATCATCCGATCCCTGAGTTGTTGCATCATTTAAATTACGCACGTGCAGTCTCCGATTTTATACTAATATATTTAGCGTTTTTTGTTGTGATACGTTCAATGATATATTGCGCATGCGTAACCGATTAAAGCGTAAAAAGTGCGCATGTGCAACAAGCGTTTACATCCCACAAGCAAAGAAGCAAATGTTTTAGCTTAAATTCGCTGATTGAAAGTAGCGCATGTTTGTCCATTTTTAAATGGGAGTGCAACTATGCTATTACAAACTAATAGCATGGCTTTTCGGAAGATTAGTGATTAAATGAGCCCTTACCCTCGGCAGGTTTCCGGAATTCCCTCGGGCTACGCCCTCGGGGATTCCGCAAACCTGCCTCGGGTTACGGGGCCATTTAATCACTAATCTCTCTCAAGCCATGCTATTACTTATAATAATTACATGGTAGCCTCGGTTTCTTTTGTTTCAACAGGGGCTTTTAATCACGTATTTCGCTCATTCTGCGATCTTTCTCAAAGGCCAAACTATAATAGTTTTTACCTGTAAACCACATATAAATCATAAGCATTCTCTATTTATAATCAATCTTTCTATTTTCGGTTCTGAGCAGTTGTATTTCGGTTGTTTAGAAAGATCTTTGCGACTGTTAACAACCATATTGAAACCAGATTTATAATAATTCTTATCACAGATACGCATTCATTACAATTATAAACCCTGAACAGCATTCAGGCATTTATTATTTTTTGTGAACATATAATAAGACGAGTGCGCCATACCAAAGTCTTGAAAAGAAGCCAAGATTAAGACTGTACAATTATTCACACTAAGTATTGTAATTTATGTTTATTCGTTCTTTGTGAAACATATAATATTCAACGGTCTGTTCCATTGTAGGAAGTGCCAATGATAAGAAAGTTAGTCACTAATTTCCCTAATTGCGTCCCTATCAATCCGAAGCTTTCGTAACTTATCCCCGAGCCGAAGGCGCGAAGCGCCGTGCAAGGGTACTAATTCCGCCCGGCTATTTACATCCGGGGAAACGAAAGCATTAGCGAAGTCTAAAGTTCATCAATGATCGCGGGCGTGGCTCACCAACGAAGTTTCGGCGGGTGGTCATCCTCACTGATCTCATAATATAGCGGACTGTCATGAATAGCCAACAATCATTGGTCCAATTTAAAATTTGCATTATAATAGCAAGCATTACTTGATTTGATGATTTCTTGCAAATATATTTCACTTTTGCAAGATTTTGTAAATTTCCAAAGCTTTTTGATAAAATAAAGGCGAAAAAATTGCTAAAAGGAGGGAGTAAAAGCGCCGACGTTAACGAAGGTAAGTTTGTTTTTAATATTGATGCATTGTTTGCTTTTAATATACTGTAATTACTTTAAAAACTGATCGTTGCCAGGTTGCGTATAAATATGAAACAAGACAGCATATTATTTCAGTGTTTCTTTATTGATTACCCTTTTTATTACAATAAGCAAAGTTATTTTCATGCGAGAATTTGGAATAATTTTACTTCGAACTCAAAGTTTATCGATACAAGCAGTTTAGTTCTATATAAATATTATATTAATTTAAAAGAGCACTTTAAAACGTTCTGCGAAGCGTTTGTGAATTTTACCTTAAATTGAAGCTTATATTATGATCTCTATAATAACATACCTAACATATGTATGTTTGGGAAATTGATAATTTTGTAATTAAAAGTGATATTTTTAGGGGAATTTTCATTTGAAAAATATTCTTAAAAAATTATCGTGCTATATCTTTAAATAAACACAATCAAAGTCACCCCACAAGAAAATGCCCGTTGATAAGTAGCTATTTTTGTGACTGATTTTCAAGACAACAGAAACTTATTAACAATTACATTCTATTTCATGATCATGACCAACAAATTGCGTAGCCTGTTTATATATGTACAGTGCAGGATGATTTGGTCTGGCTTGCGCATGCGTATGAATCTATTTTCAATTTCTTACAGGAGCGGCGTATGATAATAAAAGGATGAAGACAACTCCAGTTATTCTTCTTTTACCTTTCCTGTTTGCATTCGCTCTCAGTGAAATAGGTATGTAAATGGTATACAGTTTTTATAACTTTCATGGATATTAAAAGGAAAATCCAGTTTCTTGCTGGAGGGATAAGTAAAATAACTGATCTGATAAAAATTCTGAAGGTGTTCTTCCTAATCATAATCTTTTCAAATCTGAAGTATTTTGATCAATATAAGTGAACAAGTTGTTATGTATTTTAGATTGCAGTAGTAAGATAAGCAAGATTATTTAAACTACATTGTAATCGACATAACATATAATAATTATATGCGCTTGGCTATTTGGTGACAAGCTCAATTAATGAAATGGAATCATATATCAGCATCGACGAAAAAAGACATTGAAGCTGAATTTGAGGCAGAGCTTGTTAAAAATTTAACGTAGAAATCCCGTTGTAAACGATTTCCGATACTCGTGGAAGACCGAGGCTTGCCGCTGTAAGCCAAGTCCACGCGTATCCGGATTAGTTTGTACCCACAAACATTTAGTTCCGGATACACCTTCCATCCACACGTATCCGTCGAAAGTACACACTGAAGCCGCAAGTTTTGAAAAGGTCTCCAGGGTGGAAATTTTGAAAACGCAACCAATGCGGATACCTGTGGTTACTGTAACCGGATTGTTTTGAAAACGATGATGTAAATCGATGAAACTCGAGATTCGCAACGCTGATCTATACTGTCCTTGGGACTTTTTATTCCAGAATCATTTTTAAAAGAAGCTCTATTTAATTATCAGTCCTTAGGGGATCGTTCATATTTTTTTTTCTCTTAAGCCGGTTTTCCAGTAGGCGAAATTTTGCGCGTGAAGCGGAATTTTTTTGGTCTTTCTAATTACATTACTTCCACCCGAGAAATTACAAGACAAAGAAAAATTCTGCTCCGCGGGCAAAATTCCGCCTAATAGAAAGTTGGCTTTCGATTCACATTTTCTCTACAATTCCACATGTTTCTTGTTCGTATACACTCTGACCAAGGAATTTTCGGGGATGCAATTAACGGATTGCCTGGTTCTGATCTCGACTACGTCACTCGACCAAACTCAGCACTCGCGACTTAACCATTCGATAGCCCATGCTTCGGTAAGTGACTCGTATCGTTTTCGTCGGAATGTATGGACCGTCGTAAAAGCAATGTGTGGACACGTACTTGTTTTAATCTGCAACAAAGTGTTTGCGGATACAAACGAATCCGGATACGTGTAGACAGGGTCCAAATTTCAATTTCAACGATTCAAATATTTATTACTTATAGACATTGGTAATAAACGAGCAGCAATAGTGAATTTCATAAAATCGAGACGCGCAAACACCGGACTGCCAGAGAAAAGGAGATGGAAAGGCAAAATGTATTCGAGTAAGTTTCACTACACTTTCGTCTGATATTGTGGGCATTATGCATAAACATGCCTGCAGCTTTTCTAGCTTGACTTAAATTGCAGTTGACCTATTCACGTCATCCGATACAATCCTGCATGAATTGTGGTCATTGTAGGAATTTTGGTGTGAACCAAAAAGTCAGGGACCTGTTGTACGAATGTTGGATAACGCTATCCACCAGATAGTGATTTTTCAACCATTGTTAAAATGCTTAAAAGCTACAAAATTACGGATGTGAACCGCACAATTAATAGAAGTAAGCTTCAATTTATATATGCTAACGATCAATCTGAGTTATACGAATCAATGGTTTAGCGCACGTTGATATTAATACATTACAAACCATATATAAAGCACTAGCGCAGCCATATTTTAAATATTGTTCCACCCTATGGGGAGACTGTGGTAAATTGCTTCAAGATAACTGGTGCCACTTACAACCGGCTCTAGCATAAAAACTACCATAACAAAGGCAAATGACGCATCCATAACACACTTGTCGATGGACACTCAATTGTCTGCTTTTTACATTCATTTAGAACTTCGCAAAGACGAAAGTCCTCCACCAACGAACAACCAACTGGCTCCTAGCCAATATGATGCAACACCTCCACCTGGAGGTGCTGCCACACCTGCAGCTGGTGGGACACCTGCAGGAGACGTAAGTACAGGACGACCATATGGAGGTGGTGCATCGCCCTACGGACAGCGACCACCTTACGGTCAACAATCACCATATGGTTCACCTTACGGTCAACAACAATCTCCTTATGGTCAAAGACCTGGTCAACAAAATCCTTACGGTCAACAAGGCTATGGTCAACAAAGTCCTTACGGTCAACAAGGCTATGGTCAACGACCCCCACACGGTCAACAAGGCTATGGTCAACAACCTGGTTTCGGACAGATGCCCCACGGGCCTAAGGGAAAAGGTCCACCAAATGGCGGTCAGATTCCGCCACCACAGCAAGGTGGTGCTGGTGGCGGTTGTGGTACGGCTACTGTATGCGGATCATTTAGTTTAAGCAAAGAAGACCCCACAAGTGTTATCGCTCCACCACCAAGACTAGTGATGAACCCAATGCAACAACCATGTATGCCGCCAATGCAAGCTGGTTGTGGTGGAATGCAACCAATGATGCCACCAATGATGCCACAAATGCAGTCTCCGATGTGTCCTTCGATCTGCAACAAGAGATGTATGGTTACCTGCCCGCGTGCCTGCTGCACAAAATCAGCTGTAAAACCGGAAAAAGGTGAAAAATCAGAAAGAAAATATGGGAAGTGCCCAGCGGTATGCTCGGTCTACTGTGCACCGGAATGCCCACACAATTGCTGTGGTCCTGGGGGTGCACGTCGGTCTTTCATACCGCGGGCGTTTCGTGCAAGTGAATTGACACCCCCTGCGTTATTTAGAATCGAGCAAGAAGCTGGTGACCTAAAACGCCATTAAGACAACTGAGCTGTTGAGTGTGTTAGGTTTCACTGTTTGACATTAGTTAGTAAAGAAATAGTGGGGAACTAGTTCTGATGTCATTACGCGGCCATTAAATATGCCTGGGCTTGGTACAGAGAGGAAATTGGTTGGGTGACTGTTTTGATACACTTTTTAATGTATTTTCGTTAATACCAATTCCAGGTATCGATAATGACCGCCCTTTAAATTCTGGCATTTTCTTTCTTACATAGGATCTTCCCGATAAGATATCAAAATGATAAGATATCAAAATGCCAGAATACCATGCGACAAGATGACGTCAGAATGGACTTTCTAAGAGAACAAAGTTAAGTAAATAAAGATTATTGCATGGATCACGCCAATCATGATCCTTTGAATATCGCTTGATTCAAGCACCTAATATAGATTTCGAAGCTTAAAAGGAAGCGAAAGCTAAATTAATTATGCCGAAGCATTAATATTATTCGTAACAATAAATTGTAAATAAGCTAATTAATTCCTTTTGTACAATTTACAAGGTTGTAAATACTTTCATTATTGTATGGAATGTGGTTTAATTGTCTTTATGTACCTTTTATCAAACGAGAACGCCAAAATCGATCTTTTTGTTACCATTTTTAATGCTTAATCCATATTTGCGGATAACACACCGATGCTCCGAAGACTCGCGGGATTTGTTTGGCTCTGGTTAATTGAGAACGTATAATTGAGAACAAAAAATTTGGAATTAAAAAATACCGATCGATTTGTAATTCCAACTTTTGTAACTTTGAAATATTAGCACTTCAAAGTTCAGTATCACTTTGAGATCAGTGTCCGAACTGATTAGCAATTATTTAATCTTATTCAAATATGGAGATCTTGGTCCGGCTGGAGGTTTTAATATCAACAAAGCTGAGCACTATCAAATTGAACATGCAGCTTTAGCCGGATATATTCAAAAGCACAAAAATGCTCAGTTGACCCCAATTTGCAAATCACCTGCAAATTATTAACCAAGCACATGTCGGGTGAAGCTATATTTACGCATTTTGCCCCCCCCCCCTTCTTGACTGAAAACAACTTGCAATGCTTGGATCTTATTTTGTTTAATTAATGCAAATCGAAAATTGGAATCGTGAAGGGTTATAAAAAGGTTAGGGATTAGGTTGGGCTCCACTCGCCACAAATTAAAAGAAACCATGAAAATGCGATCAAATGTGCCCTGGACGACTCAGCGATTTAACCGCTTGATTCTAGAAGTTCTGAGAGGAGAAGGTAAGCATAGTGTTATTTTTAGATAGCATTTTTCGGATGATTATAAACCTTTTGACGACCAAAACCACTGGGAAAATCCGACGCAGCTATCAAAAGCACCGGGGTTAAATACAGTAACAATTGGATCTTAACGAGTATAACATCTTTTATTTAACGATAAAGACACGTGTGATCCCAAACCAAAAAGACAAGTAACGGTATTTATTATCTTCGTTTCCAAGACGACACCGAATTTGCGAGACTCCGCAACTCGTCAATGAAAAAAGTGTTAAGCAGTAGTGTCCGCATTCCGGCACGAGATGCGCAAATCGATACTCAGCAGTGATGAATCAAATAAACGAACGGTAATAAAAAAACTGGATCGATTCAATCGATCTGGCTTTCATCCAGATCTCCGCCAGACGTTGACCTTGCAGTTGGGGGATGTTGATATTTGTATATACAGGTGTTTCGCCGATATTTGGAATCAAGTTCCGCACAAATGTGTTCATTTCTGCTTCAAGCATCACACGAGGCCAATTTTTAGGAAGTAAAAACTAATTAAGAACAAAAGACCACTCGACGCAACAGCGACGAACACTTGAACTTGTTTAGGCAAGACAAACCTTAGAGTACTAAAACGTATTGGCAAGGTTCCACGTGTGTTGAGTTTTATAACTGCGCAATTCTTCGAGAATACTTCATAAGAGACTGGAACGGTTATGAATAGTGTGGCCCAAGTGTTCGCTGTAATATAAAAGTCAAAGAACTTTAACTTTAAAACTAAAGGCAATTTTACCGAAGATTTGATAAGGTAAGCTATTATTCTTTGTCTCACGGTAATGTAAACAGTTGGATAATTTTGACAAGTGGTTAAAACGTTTCACGGTTTTAAGCTCACGATTGCGTTGATCACACTCGAAACTTCGCCATTTTGTTTCATGCTGCTGTACAACCCAGTTTGGTTGCCCATTGTTTAAAGTTAATTAAAAAGGTTTACTAGTCATTAAACTATATTTCTAAATGATAATCGCAGGAATTTCTGGGGATATTTATAAAGTTGAAAATTAATAAAATACTTTCACTTTTCAAATGTTTGCGCTTATAAGCAGCCTGAGCCACAGTCACTTTTAAATGTTTTGGTATTCTTTAGAACTTTCCACAGTATGGAAGTAAAACTTACTAAACGAGTAAAGCTATAAAAACCATGCAGTATGTAATGATCTCTGATGATTGAAATCGCATGACGTTAGACAGAGTAAACAAATCCTATTGCTAGACAGACAAAGATAATTAAGTAGGCTGCATTTGAGCGCATTGTGCCCTAATGGCATATAGCTGGGAAATGCATTAACGCCAAACACTTTCCATTTTACAAGGGATCGTTTAAGGCGTATTTTTATAGTTTATACGTTCTACACACGCCAAAACGCAAATACTGGAAATTATGCGTAGCTAATTAGTCATATAAAAACCAGCTAAAAACATCAGTATATCTAACTTATAGTGGTTGTAACATAGTCAGTTTCTTATGTCACTGCACATGCAAAGAAGATTGATATTTCAGTTGGTCAAAGATAAGAGTATCACTCAGACGTACATATATAATGAGTGCTGACCATGAGATAAGTCAACCGAGCCAATGATACACGTATATCCTACTATCTTCACTTTCGGCAAAGGACGATATGGACTTTAAAATATATCAGTTACTTCGTCTATAGGAAGCAAAAATATAGTAAAGTCGTTTTAATTGACTACATGCAGACATAGTCGCCAGACAGTTTTTATTCCGGTTATAATATAGACATATAGTGCCTAATATATCAATGTGATAGACGAGCGGATAACTTTTCCTTGACAAGTTTCAAATTGGCAACATTTTTCTTCCGAAGAAGCCTTCACAGTTGAAAACTAGTTTGAGCGCAACTATTATATATCATGAAATTGAAAAAAACGGCCTCGGTCGTCGTACACACGAGTAAACGTGTGTAAAATAAACCTACAAGTAAACTTGTCAACGAACTTGTACATGTCAAAGCTGAAAACCTGCTCGTCTGTACAGCCACTACACATCTACAGGGCTCCAGTAAAGTGACTAAATCAGTATAGTGCCGTAAATTTATTTGTCGAAAAATGTTGTGCGATTTTCGAACCATCTCACTTTCAGCACGTATGCACGCAGGTAGTCCAGAGATTCACTTATAGTTCGTTTCAATTAAATGATCTCTAGCTAAATTTAGCCATTATAACTAGCTTCAGCATAAATGAATCATTGCTGTGTATATACTGTGTATTTGTGAAAGGAAATTGATCACATTTGGTCGCAAAAACTGAGCAATTGTTTTCTTTTCCTGTGATCACCATTTTGGATTGATTAGCTTGCCTTTCCATAGCAACGAAAATCCAATTAAGGGCTAATATCAAACGCATTGACGGCATTGTTACCTATATTTGCACACAGCCTGACTGGTTTATTAAATATTTTGGAGTCAAACTCTCTGAACAAGAGATTTGACGTGATGCAGAGAGAGATATTTCAAACAGCAATTTGCCTAGGCTACAATTTACCTAAATGGGTATAAGTTCAATGAAAACGAAACTACGCGATGACGCACATGACTCCGATCTTAGCTAGTTTCTAATAGGCTATAGTTCCTTACTGGCTGCATGATTTCCACGCCAGAAAAATCATAGTATGCAGTGATTTCCAGAGAGTATGGAATGAGTGTACTTAACTTAATCTCACGTTGTAAGCTTGGTTTGCGCGCGTTTTGGACTCATTCGGCTAAACATATCAGTCGTAATGTTTGTCTTCCGACGGGGTAAGGTCATCTTTCCTGATAATATTTCACTCAGTTGTTTGTCTTCAAGTTCAATGAAAAGGACTGTGCGATGACGCATGGAACCTACCTAAGTCAATTTCCAACTTAGGCCCATACTGGGTTGCATGATTTCCAAGGGAGGAAAATCACAGTGCGTTGGCCCATAAAAACGTAAATAGCAAGGTTAGTAAATATAGAAAATCACATGCCACAGACTATTGTTTTCAGGAATGATGGAATGCAAATTTGGAAAGTGCCCAAATAACGATAGCGCATTCTCTGCGTGTCTAACTTTGACCTCCGCGTGAAAGGTCGACGAAAATCGATGCGTATCGCGACGAAGTTTATATTCAGCTCTCGGCAATCTGACGAATGTTACAATAATCTGGAGTATCCGAATGTTGTTATTGGCTTATTTCCACATTGCTGTAGATATTGTCATTTTCTTGTCAAATAGTCTTGGGATCATAGTAACATCACTGATATATTAATATGACATGCTTAAAGTTTTAATTTTTCGACGTTGTAATTGGATCAGTAAACTCCACGGACTTGAAATATTAAATCATCTTAATTTCAGCATCACCGATTGAAGTATTAAAATTGCATTTGCGGCTAACGGTGTACTCATACGGCGAACATTTAATGGCAGTAATTTGCATATATCAGTTTTCACCGACAACAAATTTGACATGGTTAAATCACCACAATGCATGGTGTTATCAGTGTGCTTTTGGTTAGCTTTCGGGTAATTGAGACTGCACACAGGCCTTCACTTTGGGCGAGTTTTCGGCGGCGTAGTCGTCAGAGCAAGCGCTTTCACCTCTGAGTTCGTGGGTTCGATTCTCGCTATGGACTCGTGTGAAAAGAGTCAGTCAACACTCTGCCGAAAGTCATGGGTTTTCTCCGGTTTCCTCTCAGAGGGAAAGTTGGCAGGGTGGGTTAAATGCAGTTATGAAAGTAATATCACAACTGTTGTAAAGATAAAATAGCCTAGGCTCAGTAAGTAATTAGATAAGCGTACTACTTGATGTAAAGCGCATTTGATCATATCCACATGTAAATTCGCGCTATAGAAATGTAAATCGTAATCGGAAAAACTGTTCTGCACTCAATTCATGTAGTGACATCACACCGTCTCGTCGGCAGCTACGCAATCTAAACTAAGCTCTCCAATCTTCTG